CCACCCCATCCCCAGAGAGCTCCCTATCCAGGATCCCAATAATGGCCCTTTTCCACTTTATTCCCTTGGAGACTCACATCGCTGACTTATGGTTGGAGGTGCAGGGTCTTTATCACTGGGCTATCCTTCCATCATCAAGTCAAGTTACCAACTTTAGAGCTTATATAAGGATCTCAAAGCAAATTCAAAGGAGAACCACTGCAGACAACAATTCATGCAACAAATAGTTCTTTGCTGTGCCATTAACCCATGACTTGTTCACAGCCTTAAGAGATCATTGAGCATCACAAGCTTTACGGCACCATCTCCACCACATGTAAGAAAACCATGAGGAACAATTTGAATATCTGTAACAGCTGCCTGAAAACGCAGGAGAAAAAATCCCTTTAGTTTTGCAAGCTCAGGATCTCGGTAATTTTTCTTCCAACTATTCACGCATCTGATCAAAAAAGTTACCTGTACCACACCACCAAAGCCACGGGAGCTTGGCTGCAAGAAGGTGTGTCTTTCGTGCAATTTTGGCCAATGAAATACTAATTTTGCATTTTTGGCATCCCAAAGTTTTACATCTCCATCTTTACTTCCCGTCAAGAAAAAACTGGTATGTGGTATGGTTGATATTTTGGTAACACTCCCTGCACGAGATAAAGTAGAATTAGAGAAAGATCTCATTATGTACTGCCAATCAACTATCTACAGCATTTTCAGCCACAATCATCTAAAATGGTCCAATACCTGTGTGAGCCTTCGGAATATACCAGAGCATCCCATTACGATTCTGATCACCGGTTTTCTTCTTCATGTCAACCATGGAATTCACACCATGATCACCAATTTCTGTATGCTTCTGTCTTTTTGCCTTTCCAGTAGCTATGTACCGGAAATCATGAAGTCCAACATCACCACCTTTCCCACCCGTCACAATGAGGGGGGAAATAGAACCACTTCCTAAATCATTATCAAACACTGCTAGGGAGCGTGCACCTCCTGGAAACAAGAACAGGGTCAATAATCTTAGCAAGTTAAAAGCTTATAACGGCTAATGAACTAAACAAAGACCATTATCAAGGTTTTGCTAAGGTTCTGAAGAAAAGCACTACATGTAGACTTTAAGTGGCTTATACCTATTTTCTTGCCAAAAAAGACAGTCACTGAGAATCCACCATTTAGCTCTTGACAGATGAAATGTCCCCCCCTCACAGTCCTCCTCCGAATCCACCAATAATCCATATACATGTAGAATTTTCTTCTCATGAAGGTCACACATTTCCTAGACAAGAGCTTTATCCTTTTGCTGTCGAGTAGAATTCTTCTACTTGAGGGTTCTCTATAGATTAGGTTCACTTTGTTACTAATATCTAGGGTGTTTAATCTTAAATTAAATGTTCTACCTTTTGCTTTAAATTTGGGTCTTCGCTAAATTCTCTTTAATTGCTTTTCTAGCTTATTGTTATTCCTATCATTTAAAAACTGACATTTAAGAATAAATTGACATATCTTAGTTCCGCATTTGTCTTTTTGCTAGAACTTAATATTAGGAACTGTCCCGTTCCTTCACAAAAAGGAAAACATATCAACAAACGAACCTTCATGACACATTATGGAGGCTCGAGATGTCGCTGGTGGAGCAAGTGTGTCCCATATGACAACGTTAACACCACTGGAGCTATATCCCGCGGCAGCTATGATAGAACCACTTGACGTAACATATGTGACATCCCTGCAGTCATTACGAGGCACAGCAGGCTTTATAAGAAAGCAAAAGATGGAAACTATAGCAAAAGCATAACGACTGCATAGCAAGGAGCAGGAGAAACAGAAAACAAGGAAGATAAATGTAACTGCTTCATCTTTCAAATCACTCCGACAATGTTACTAGTTGGAACTGATATTCATGGTGTCCTTGCGGTTACTAATGACGCAACGAAAGACCAAGTGCAAGTAAGGAAAATAGAAACAATTTCAAACGCTTCCAGCCCCCTGTCACCATCCAAAGACAGTATAGAGCATTCTGGTGGTTACGGGGTGGTGCTAGGTACTGGAGAGGCACCAAATAAATAAGAAAGCTTTTCCGTTAATAATATATCAGTTCAGCTTCGAGACAACTTTGAGGAGATACCAATACTTAGTTTCGATGTATTATAATACTTGAACAGGAAGTTCATACAATTTTCGCTGCTTATGGTGTATGGTAATTAAGGAAAAGAGAAGGTTAAGGCCTACGAATGTTATTAAGTAGCAATGAGGCACTAAAGTACAAAGAGAGAATATCCAAAAATCTAACTTTTCAGTTTGGATACAATTTTGTGGAGATAGTAATGCTCAGTTCCACCTAACATAAAGTTAACACGATTTGGGTGCTTACGATGTATAATTATTAAAGCAAAGAGAGGATTCTGTTGGCCGAATGTTACTTCTGCCTCCTACTTCAAGCTGCCACGTGCACACAGTACCATCCGAAGCAGCAGATACAAATCTGTGACCACAATGATCAAATTTCACGGCAGATACAGAAGCAAGAGCATATGGTGGAGGGACATTTGCAGCAGGAAGCACTCCATATGTTGCAGTAGCTCTATCTTTGCCAAACTGCAGATATCAAAATTTATTCTAAATACCATATCTTAAGAAACCACAATAACACAAGTATGTGACGAAACAAGTTTCCAATCTCATGTAAGAACAACGAAAAAGACATAGCCTACAAACAGTAAAAGAAAAAGAAAATGGCCAGACATATCATGCCACTGCATGAAGATTACTTAATACTTACTAATTTGCAAGTACAGAAAATATTCTACATTCCTTTTAGGAGTCAAACTTGCTCAAGGTGCAAATTAAGCCTTACTGTTGCCACTGCAAAAGATCTAATTAATCTGTTGATCGTGATGCTTTACCTCCCACAAATATATGTGTGTATTGCTTGAGCCAACCAAGAAAAAAGGCCTTGAAGGGTGAGTTGAGAATGCCCTTGTCCTAACATTTTCTACGGTGGCAGGAGGGTCAAGAAACTCATCAAAATCCTCTTGAACTCCCCAGCCAAGACTGGATCCACCCGTATTGGCATAACCTGGAAGCCCAAATGTAGGTCTTGCCTGAAAACCTGCGCCAACAGTTGCTCCACCTAGCCCGAGGTGTGTGCCCTTTTTACTCCCGAGACCCACTCCAGGAGAGACGCAAGTAGGAATTGGTGTAGAATCGGATCCCGCCCAACCATTATGTGGCCAATCAGCTTCTGCCCAGACATTATCAAATCTGTTCGCACAAGGAAGTCCATCTTCCCAATTGAAGAATAATAATCCCTGAATCAGACATAAGTAGATTGAGCGATCAGGAAAAATGTCACTGACTTTACAAATATAGAAGATTACTGGGAAATTTAAATGTGAAACAAATAAAATAGACGTATTTACTTTATCGCCAAACTGTAAAGCGCAGAGTCTAAAGACCAGAATAGGAATTTACTATGAATGTCTAACAGGCAAAATACTTCCCGAGTAATATAACAATATCAGAAGGCAGCCAACTGATATTTATTCATCAATAAATCTCTTAAAAGCAAAATACTTTCCATTTATTATCCCTATTTAAAAACTAAGATCAGAATAATTTTCTGCACAATGAAATGATGAATTTGCAAAAGATCAGAGTTCATGGAAGTGTGAAGCATCAGATACAAATTTCTCCTATTGAAGTGACACTTGGGATACATTTGAGACACCCTAGAATTTGTACCGTTGACATTCCCACACCATATAACAAGTTGAATACAGCGAACATGAAAGATACCACGTGACTCATCTTTAGATTCACTTATGCCTCTCTCATATCATAAGTACACCTCTCAAAGTTCATAATAACCATGAAGTACCGTACTCTTAAAGTTTCACGAACATGCAGCCAAATCAGTTTAACATCTCCATTTACCCCACCACAAACATTTCAACTTATCCCAGTTTACTTATGCATCAAGTCGTTCTTTTAAGTATGAAACTTGGAGCTGGATGTTAATAATTGTAAAGTGACATGATCCCTAAAGCCACAAGTTTATTTCATGTTACGACCAAAATGATGTATCAGATGCATCCTAAACCACTGGGAAAACATCAAATTCAGATGCATAAAATATAGACCGCTAAATAAGCCCCAAAGCACAGTCTCACCTTCCGATTGCTAGCAAGAGCAGCTTCATGTTGATCAACGGAGTTGATGCACAAAGCCTGCTCAAATACAGGAGAATTGCATTCGTTAGCATCAAGAAAGAAGATTTGCCATTAAATTTACCTGTTATCTGTAAGAAATATAAAGTGCAATTCAAATTAAAAAAAATTAGGAGAAGAATTACCTCCAAAAGTTCTCCATTTCTCTTATATATCTCCATCGGACTACGAAAAGGCAAAACCTTCTTTGTATGGTTCGTATCTTTTCCCCCGGAACTTTGGAAAGGATGATTATTTGGTGACAAACAAGCAAGAGGAGATCCAGCTGCGCTGCTTGGACTACCAAACCTATCGTCTCTGTCACAAGTTTCCTCAGCTTCACACTCTCTTACAATGCTGGGGTACATTTCATTCCATCCTTTAAAGGACTTTAGCAAGGTATGCTGTAAAAACTTCTGGTCTTGAAGCAAAAATCCCTGATTAGCTTTCTTAAGCTCAGAACAAATATCCCATAATGCCTCAAATGCTGATAATTCATCTTCAGCAGTCAGCTTATCCAGATCATTATTTCTATGACTAAGTTTAGTATCTGGCGCTTTATGTAGGGACGGATAATCTTCAGACCAGAAAATAGTAGTTGCACCTGGATCTATGCTCTCCAGCAGGATGGATGCAAACCGATTCGTACAGTAAGAAGAGATGTGAGTACATGTGATCTTTAGTATCTTCGCCAGAAGTCCTGGAACAATCCCATTGTGGGTTGAGACATTGTTGCCATTTACACAGTTTAGTGAAGTGGATACACTGGGATGTCCGCCTGGAGGTAGAAACAAATCGCTTTCTTCATGTTCTGGAGATAGCAGATTTAGCTTGTATTTTAAAAAGCTAGATACATATCCCCAAAAAGAAGCAACCATGACATGCCATCTCTCTTCCGGAACAGACAACATAACATCCCCAAATTGTGCCCGTGGCATTTGATTCTTGTTCTGGAAAGAAGATCCAGCATCATGAATAGATAAATCATGAGCCACCGTTTCTCGAATCTCACAAAGCAGTTTTTGTATATCCTTTATGCCTGTCTCATCTGAAGTTCTTGCCATCAAGAGAGGCTTCACAATCAGGAGAAGAACACTGTAATCTCTTTGTACCAAAGCAGATGCAAACAGTAACAAATACTCTGTTAAATCAAGGATGGTGAAATGTGTCCCCACAAAATTTTCTGCAGAAGAAACTGAAGAAAACTGCATTGTGGCTCTAAGACACCATAATGACCAAGACAGCCTCTTTTTATACAGCTCTAAGACGGCGCCATAAATATTTTCATCAGCTCCATTACTCCTAAGGGCGAATGACTTCAAGTAGAAACAGTCCATGCTACACATAATGATGTATCTTGCAGAAATATAAAATAATTCTCCAGATACTTCAAGAAATAGCTTGGGAAGGAAAGCATACAATGAGCAACCATCAAGTTCATGGCCTTGCTCCATCGACAGATATTTATTTATGTAGTCTCGCAACAAGTAGCATCCTGTATACGCCAAACCACCATTGCAAAATGACAAAAAAGTCTGAAAGAGGAAAAAGGAAAAAACTGACAATCAGTCCTCCGGAAAGAAAAAAAACCCATAAACATAACACTTGTTCCATAAATAAGCAGAGATACCAAGTACATAAGATGTAGAGGAATTAAGGAGAATTTCAGTTGAAAGGATGCAATTGTCGTCATCAGTTCATCTTGAAAAGCTTCGACTGAAAGCTTGTATTCTTCATTCTCTGATACAGTATCCATGTGTCCCTGAAGACATATCATACCATGGTCTACCCAGCTTGGATGTCTCCTTAACATCTTACACAAGTATTGCATAGACAAGTCTGATCTCATGTGTGATTCTATCCGTAAAGCCACATCCGATGATAGCCAGTTTGATGAAGTTTCATTTAGCATTGCACGCAGCATTTCATGCAGGTATCCAGAGTCCACATTATCAGCCACACTTCCTCCAGTTGGACCACCAATGATGCTCACAGAAGATGAAAGGCATTCCAAAGCATCAAGCTTACATAGAAAAAGATAGGAAAACTTTTTTGAGAATGCGAAAAGAGATAGGAAAACTATAGTCCTTCGACGAAAAAAATCTAATTAAAATGAACATACAATGGTACATCCATACACACGACCAGGCTGGCTGAGAGGGTCGCTTGGCATTAGATAACATTAAGGTATACCCCCTAAACTGACTTATAGAAGAAAAGGTATGATAAAAGTCAATGTGTCAATCACAAGTGAACATTTCCCTAGATACTCTCTCTCCTACTTCCTAGGAGGTTAGAGCCACCTTTCCGGTGGGATCCTGTCAGGACGGTGTTTCGCTCCGGTAGAGCTGAGAAGAACCAACCCAGCTGCAACCAAGAAACCTGTATCCGAAGAAGAGGCTGAGGAGTTCCTGAGAAAGATGAAAGTGCAGGACTACTCCGTGGTCGAACAGCGGAGGAAAACACCGGCCCAGATCTCGCTGCTGTCATTACTAATCCATTCTGAGGAGCATCGTCGGGCCTTGATGAAGATATTGAACGAAGCTCATGTGCCCAACGAGATTTCTGTAAACCACCTGGAAACCATTGCCAACAAGATTTTCGAGGTGAACAGGGTAACATTCTCAGATGATGACCTGCCGATGGAAGGTACATAGCATAATAAAGCTCTCTACCTAACTGTCAAATGTGAAAACTCGGTAGTTACTCGGGTATTGGTGGATAACGGTTCAAGTGCCAATATCTGCCCGTTATCCACTCTGAACCAGTTAAAGATCGACCACGGAAGGATCCGCAAGAATAGCATCTGCGTCCGAGGATTTGACGGAAATGGAACAGCCACTGTAGGGGATGTTGTACTTGAATTGACCATCGGTCCAGTCCTGTTCACCATGGAGTTCCAGGTGTTAGATGCCACAGTATCTTATAACCTTCTGTTAGGACGACCATGGATTCATGCAGCCAAAGCAGTGCCCTCCACCCTACATCAGATGGTGATGTTCGAGTGGGATAGGCAGGAGGTCGTGCTACACGGCGAGGACACGGCGTTCACCATGGGTGGCGCAATTGTATNCGCAGCAGATGTAAAGCAAGCGCGGAAAATGAAGAAGAAAGTCTGGTATCTTCCCAAACCCGTGTCACGTCTTTCAAGATCTTTTGTCAAAGCAAGCGCCAAAGGGCCACCGGTCCCAAAGGTTCTAGGACCATTGAGTGGTATGGATGGGGACCTGAATCAGAGTTTCGAGAAGCTATTCGCTGATGTCAGTATGGTAGAAGCTGGAGAAGGTTCCAGCAGAGCAGGGATACAGTTTGTGGGGCCTGAGGCCAAAACCAACAATTGGACAGTTACTCCTCTTCCTGTCCGAGGGGAGTCTTGGTAGTAGGCTTTGATTTATGTTTTGTTTGTTTTGTTTTGTTCGGATTATTCCAGGGTGTAATCCAAATTTTACTTTTGTTTTGTAAAAGTGTGAACCCTTTTATCCCGCAAGTTTAATAAAGTTCTCTTCTTTTGTCCCATTTTAATTTTGTTTTGTTCTTTTTCTTTCTGAACAGTTCTCTTTTTACTGGTTCTAACGACATGGCATGCACAACGGATCTTCGACCTAGTCTAATAAATCAATCTGAATCCGACTTAAGGGTACAAGAGATCGTTTGTGACGATGAATCTGAATATGACGAAGATAAAGCCTTCGAAGAGATAAGNNCTAGGAGACGCTGATAATGTCCGAGAAACCAAAATCAGCATCCATATTGAGCCGAATGTCAGGGAAGAATTGATCAAAACCCTCGTGGAATTCAAAGATGTTTTGCATGGTCATATGATGATATACCGGGATTAAGCACCAATCTAGTGGTTCATAAATTGCCCACTGACCCGGCATACCCTCCGGTCAAGCAAAAGCTAAGGAAATTTAAAACAGAAAT